ATAAACACCGTAACAGAACCCAACTTTTATCAGCTCCTTTTGTCAACCATATTCATGAATGCATGCTTTATAGCAGATACAGAAAATACACTCAGCTGTACAACAGAGCCGCAAGTTAGTCTGAGAGACTTCCTCAGACCTCCCACCAACGCATGCACACTGCCTTACTGGCAGGAAGCCCCCTCTCCTCAAGAGAGCATACATTTTCTCCCATCACCAGCCATCACAAACTCAGAAATGCTTTGCTGAGCAAAAACTTACACTGATGATCTGCCTACACGGCTAATAAGCTGAGGGTTTGCCTCACTGTTCAGCCCGGATAGATTGAACCACTTTGGAAATACTGTCAAAGCAAAACCTACTTAACCCTCATTTCCCTACACTCCAAGTACACCTTGCTTTCAATAGCTCTCCTCCAATTTCATCCCATGTCCTTTGGCTTGTTCGCCGTATGTCTTCACTGAGAGTTTACCATCACTCTCACTCACCCCGAAGCCCAACTTTCATTTTCTAAACTATTTATATCCTCCACCATCTTTCCTTGTCATGCATTTCCTGATGTGACTGCCTCTTCCTGGCATTACTACATTTTACCGAGTCTCTTACAGATTTCTGTGTACTGCAGCAATACTAAATACACACCAACTATGCATCCCTTTTCAGAGCAAAGATCACTTTTCAGAGACAGGGATGCAGTGATGTAAACAAACTGACAGCTGACTAAAGTGGTTAAGATGCCAAAATTAACAGTTATAAAGGGGTTTTATGCCATGAGTTCAGGCAGCCACAATAACCTAGCTAGTCCTTCTTTGGGCAAGAGATTCAATGGCACTGATCACAGAACTGCATCTTATTTCAAACACCAAGTAACACAAGCCTGCAAAAATAGTATGTATCATGGTCTACTACCAAAAAAACCCAACCTCAAAACACCAAGGTAGCTAACTTAAATACCACGTGCAAAGAACATTGATCAATACCACCTATAAATACACTATTTGTAGAAAGAAGCACAGTGCTTCCTATATAAAAATAACCCAGTTTACGGGTGTGACCTAGGCTATAATTACCTGAAAATAAGACTGCAAGCGCAGTTAAAACAGACAGAAGTAGGCAAACATCTGCCTAGGGAGTGTTTCCATTTAGAAAAATAGATTTTTATAAAGCTTCATAGATTTTGAAAATGTTTGCTTTGTGCTCTGATGCACAGAGCTCTGGATAAAGCACACTGGTATCGTTATGTACAGCAGGGAGAGAAGGAGTGTATTAGTAACTTCAAGTTACCCTAAAGCTTCCCAGAAGGCACACTTGGTCATTTGTAACTTGTTTCCAACTGTTCCCCTAGGACCCAGTATAGTGGGTAATGAGGCCTCAGCCTCCTGAGCACCAGCAATTCAGCAACACATTTTGTGTCTTAATACATCAAATACTTGACCAGGTGGCCCAATAATGCAAGGACTGAAATGCTGAATTTGCTGACACCCTGAGACACATCAGGTTCCCCTGCACGAGGTACCTACACCAGGAGCTAAGGACACTTGCAGAACTGGCTATGTTACAACTCAGCAGGTTATTCCAGAGACTGAGACACAACTGGGCAAGAAATGGAAATTATATGGCTGATGTGAATATTTAGGGGGCACTGGAATCCATAGCCTAAGACTGCCACTGTACCATGAATCAGTGCTAAATAATTTGAAGTACCCTGAAACGCTTCACTTTCTCCTCCCCACAACAAGGTAATGATTTGCTATAGCACAGCACTAGAAATTCCCATCAGGTTATTTGGTCAAAACACTGCCACAATCAGACAACTGCCTAGGCAGTCATCCAAAAATCCCCTCCAATCTCCTATCAGAGAGCAGGAAGGCGCAGCAGTCAGCTTACAGCACTGAGATTTGGGCTCGTTTAAGGTTTGTTTCAAAACATAATATACAATTTCTTAGTTTTGTTTTTGGTCCTTGAGGTAAAGCAAATGCTAAGAATATAATACTTGAAGACAGAAAAAATAATACAACTCAACAAGAACCCACAAACAAACCAACCTCTTTGGCATTTCCTTAAAAGAAGGTTTTCCTGGGGATGTCAAACATCATTCCCTTAACAAATACTAATGCCTCCTAATGCAATATTTAGTGCAGCCAATTATCCTAAAGAGAAGGCCTTTGTGAAAATAAAGTGCTATTTGTTTCCTTTTACCTATATTTCAATCCTTCAGTATAACCTTCACAGAGAAACACGCAACTAGATTCTTCATACTGTTATCAGAGATGGTTTGGAGGAAGAACCCCCAATTTTACATTAACATATGCACTGTATTTCTATGCAGAACAATGTACTCAATTACACAGGAAATTTAAAGCATGTCATTGAGCATTTCAAACTGCGATCCACAACCAAGCTCCACTGCTCATAGCATTTTAAGAGCATCTTGGTACATTAGGGGGGCTGTTTGCACTTACAAGTTTTAAATCCCAAATGGATTTTGTATCATAAAAAGCAAATATCATAAAAAGGTCAAATTTGCCACTAAGACAACAAGTGAAAATGGATTTCCAGAAATGTCAGTTTGAGCCTGTTATAGTTAGGTTTGCAGACAGCTGACTGAACGTAACGCTTCTCTACTAATGCATTTCCCCAGAAACTTCACAATTTCCCCATGAACAAGCAATGAGATTAAAAAACAAGAATCACAAATTCCATAAGTCTTGGCCTCTGGTTTCCCAGTCTTCTCAGGGCAGGGACAAAACCACAGAACCACACTGAAACAGGTCCCACCTTCCTCAGGCAGACACAGGCTCTCAATGGACCAGCGGACTGCAAGTGTGTGCTGCCTGGCCGGGTCCATGGACAACACCAGCTCACTCTGCTGGTGGCTCCTGCTTGGCCTCGGTGACATGCCGGCACGGGGTGGGCACTGGTCGCAAGTACCGGGGGCTGCTGTACATCCTGATGATGTGCGGGGCCTGGATCCAGGTGTTGATCAGCTGGAAAGCTGTCAGGTCCAGCATGAGCCCATCGAAGGCAGCCAGCAAGTTCACAGGGGCGGCTTCCTTGAGGAACCGGGGCAACGCCACGGCCTCGGGGAGGCTGGTGTTGCCCAGGAAGAAATGCATCAGCACCTGCTTGCGCAGGCAGTCCCTGAGGTACAGCACCAGGTCCTCCAGCCGCTCCACCAGGAACCGCTCGTCCCAGGCCTCCAGGGGCCCCTGCATCAGCAGGGAGAACAGGGCCGTCTTCAGCACGTAGGAAGAGAGCACCCGGCTCCACTGAGAGCTGAAGGGCTCCTCCAGGCCCTGCCCGCGGAGGTCCCGCAGGCCCTTGAGGATCTGCAGACACTTGAGGTGGCAGGAGGAGGCCGGGGCCTGCTCCTTCAGCCAGCTCAGCAGCCGCTGCTCCTGCCGCGAGGCGTTGAGGCCCCAGACGGCCTCGGGGGCCGGGGTGGGCAGCGGGCCCTCGGGCGGCAGGGCCGTGAGGTAGAGCGCGTCGCCGATGGGGATGGCGGGGATGAGGCGCACGGCCATGGAGATGTGGCAGCAGACGTAGTCGGAGCAGGGCACGATGTGCAGCACGGGCGGGCGGCCTGGACAGGCCGAGAGGTTGATGCGGCAGCGCTCCTGCAGCCGGTACCGCACGGCGCCCAGGCAGCGCTGCAGGTGGCCCTGGAACCAGCGCAGCACCAGCGCCGAGGAGAGGTGGCAGCGGCCCTGCAGCTCCACGCAGAAGCCCTCGGCGAAGGGCCGGTAGCGGCGCGGCCAGCTGCCCCTCGCCCGCAGACCGCAGACGAAGGCACCTTGCGGCCCCAGCCCCTCGGCGCAGCGCGGCTGCGGCTCCAGGTGGGGCGGCAGCCGCAGGGGCACCAGGATGTCGAAGCAGTCGGGGCTGCGCACCTTGTGCTGCTCGTAGGCGCTGCCGATGCGCACGAAGTCCCCGCGCAGGCTGAGGGCGAGCGGGCCGGGCTGCAGCCCCTGCGCCTTGGCGGCGCGCACCAGCTCGGCCACGACGCGCCCGACGTGCGCCTTGCTGTGCCCCAGCACGTGGGGCGACACCCGCAGCTGTCGCACGTAGAACCGCTCTAGCGCGTCGCGATGCGCCCCCGCCGACCCCGCCAAGCGGAACCCGCCGGGCCGCGGGCCGCCACCCGCCCCGCCGCAGCAGCGAGCCAGCAGGCAGCCCAGCAGCAGCAGCGCCGAGCCCTTGAGGAGCGGGACGGAGCCCGCCTCCGCCGCGCCCTCCCCGGCCGCGCCGCCCCGCAAGGCCTGGTAGAGGCAGAGGAGCGCGGTGCAGAGAGCGGTCGCCAGCGGCCAGAGCACCCGCAGGTTGACGGTGTAGACGGGCCCGGCGCGGCGGGGGCTCGGGCCACGGGGGGGGCCACCGCCCGGCCCCGCGGGCGGGGAGCGCCCGGCCCCGCCGCCGCCGCCCCCCTCCTCCGCCCCGGCCGCCCCCAGCGCGGGCCGCGCCGCTGCTTCCCCCCTGCTACGCCGCCGGCACGGCGGTCGCCCCCCTGCCTGCCTGCTCCGCTGCGAGCCTTCCTCTTCCGAGGGAAGCGGCGCCGCGTCAGCCGCCGAGTGAGCTCAGAGGAAATGCCACGGGCGGCGAGCCCGGCCGCGGCGTGAGGGCCGGGGGCGTTGTCCGACCGGGGGCCGGCCGGGCCGGGGCCGCCCGCGGGGCGGGGAGCGGCACCTCCCGCTTCTTCGCGCCGGCGCCGCCGCGCTGAGGGAGCGCAGCCGAGCCCCCAGAGCTGCAGCGGGTCCCGCCCGGCCCGGCTGTGCTGCCCCGGCCGCGCGGCGTGAACACGCGTTTCCATGCCCCCATCGCCACAACAGGACACTGCGGGGGTTTGTAGCCCCAGGTACGGGGACGGCTGTGTCGTCGGGGAGTGCCGCTGCGCGGGCAGTGGTGCTGTGTGGCAATCTCATGTTGCACGGTTTTCCCCGAAGGGTTTTCTCTTAGAGGTCTGCGTCCTGTTGCAGGGGAGCTTCTGCTCACAGCGCTGCCTGAGGGTCTCGGTGCCAAAGGCACAGCAAAGCCATCGCCGTTAATTCACCAGGGTTCGTATGGTTTGTCACTATACTAACAGCTGCTTGCAGCCACATCGTTCAAAAGCCTGGTTCCTTCCCTTGTGCCCAAGTTACTCAATCGCTGACAAAATGAAAGGGAAGAAATAACTCTGGGAGAAGTTACTCATTTGTTGCACAGGGACTTCTGTGGCCTCATCTGTTGTATGAAGCAGTGTGGCATCAGGCCTGCTGTTAACTGCGACTGTCACAACACTTCTGCCCACAGCATCACCCTTAGCACGAAGAGGGGAAAAGGCAGCATCTATCAGAAACAGTCAGACAGCGCTACCTCAGGCATTGTCCCAAGCCTACAAATAGCAGAGCCAAACATTCAAGTCAGAAAACAGGCACAAAAACATCACCACACATGTAAAGCCTCCAAAGCACTGCTGGAGAGTTGAGCAGTCACCTTAAACTACATAGAAATCACTGGGGCTTGCCTGTCACTAAGACTTCTTCGCCCAAACTACTTTTTCAGGGCACTGCAGAGCTGAAGATCACTGCAGCCTGCATTTCCTCATATCTCATGTGATGTCTCTCTCATGGGTGGTATATGCTCACTGTAGCTAAGCTGTATTTCCGAATGTGGCTTTGTGTCCCAGCTAGCTTTAGCTTGAAGAGTCCTCTATGATGGTGATGATGATTAACCTAAGAAATTAGCACATCAGGTTCCTACTGCTGCAAGTCCTTGGAGAGCTCAATTGCCGATGAAAAGGCAGCATTTTAAATTTAGACAAAAGGAAAATTGTGCCACATAGCACCACACAGATCCAAGACTTCTTTATATAGCATTTGGCTATTACCGTATTTATTGACCATAGGGCTGCATTGCAGATTGCACATTTTCTTTCTGGAATTCATCCCACCTGCTTTCTGCACAGGTACTCAAGATCATTGTTAAACATTATTTTACTGGAAGTATATTAGCCCTGTCTCAGATGGTGATGAGAACAGGATAATAGTCCTCAGCTTCTATTTAGTACATGGTTACTGAGTTTCGAAGCTGTTTGGTGAAGTTTAAGGAGCATCTGTGTAAGCATTCTGTTGTGGTTTAATTTAAGGTGATGAAGTTATTACAGCATTGCTGTAACTTGCTGCATCTGCATAGTGTCATGGGTGACCCCATGCAGGTGACAGAGCAGGGCTTCAATACAACATACTAATCCCAGCAAGCTGAAAACACTGTAACAAGGAGCAGGGCAGAGCACCAAGTGCAAAGAGAAAGGCTGTACAAGTGTTTGGTTATGTAATACGAGTTTATGTGAAACAAAACATGATTTCAAGTACATAGAAACCCTACTTCACAGAAAGCAGCTTATGTTTTATAGCCAAGATGCTGCACTCACAGTCAACCTGGGTAACCAAGGTCAAGGAGCCTGAACTAATTCACAGGCAACCAAACTAGGGTGAGAGTCAGAAGCACGCTTGAGAGCTACAAAAAGGTATCCTAACTACTCCAAACACTGAACCTTGGAGTTAGAATCAGGACTTTCTTATTTATTTATTAAATTAAAAACAAAGTATATGTAAAGGTAAGAAACTGTCAGCAATTTTACATCATCTGCACAATATTCCATGCCACATAACTAAGAGCAAGTTTTTCTGACAGCTGTGGAACAACTGAAGCCACAACCTTGCTACTCAGAAATGTCATTCCACAGCAACCAAATCTTTGAAAACAACCAGGAAGTGAAAAGCATTTTTCTTCCTCACTCCTTGATTTGTATTTTCCTGTATTTCTTCACAAACCCAGATAAGTGGACAAAAACATCATCATGCTGCCTATTGCCTGTGACAGATCACTTCAAACACTTTGTTCTGCATCCCCAAAACATTTAAAAAGCACAGCTGTGCTTGTATGAAACTGATCCTAAAGACATTTTGTTGAAAACTACCACTGAATGCTATGAACCCATTGCCCCATGTGCTCGACTCTCACTAGCCTGTGCTTGTTTGCACCCTTGAGCCCATCATGTTCCACATCCTTTCAGATCCTGCAACAAGCATACTGACTTTTCAAGGCAGCCTGGGCTGTCTTTTCACGCAAGGCTGATTCGATTAGCTGCACATCCATGCTCAGGAGACAGACAGCTACATCTGCAGGAGCTGGCATGGCCCTCTGTGCCTGAGAGGCAGCTGCTGCCCACAGGGTGACCTAGAGCTTAGCAGCGTGGCAATTATCACGGTAGGACCTGCATAAAGGGGAATGGCTGCAGCCTCCCAGCCAGCCATGGGGCCTACAGGCTGGAGAAAAGGCAGATGTGACCTCAAGCCAGTGGGAGAAGTCCCAGGACCAAGTGGGTGACCAGCCACACCAGACTTGCCACTGCAAACAGCGGCTCAGCACATGCTTGTACATGCTCCAGACAGTTCTTGTGCAGGCTCACTCAGGCTGCAGAAGGGTTGTATGCTAATAACTGTGACCTCAAAGTCAGGACCAGCGTAAATCCGCATTTTTACTACTGCTGTTTAAATTGTGAGGTAGCCCTTTCTCACCTCCTCAGCCAGAGGCAAGATGAGAGCTCTTGAGCTTGGGGCTGATGAAAGATGGCCAACAGCCTATTTTTCCAGGTCTCTGGGCAAAATGCTGCCTGTGTCAGAGATGGGAGACTTCACAGTGTGCTCTGGAGCTTCCTTGGAAAGAGCCAATTGATGAGCCACACCATGTGTCTGCTCGCACAAGCTAAGGGCATTTGATGGCTGCTATAGAACTGAAGCGATCATAAACACAAAACTGCTTTCAGTTACCAAGTAGCAACAAGCATCATTCCTCATTACCCATCTTTCCAGTCCTACTGTAGTTATGCTGCAGGGGCTATATTTACCTTGCCATGGATACAGTTCACCCACATTATTACATCTTACAGTTTGCTTTTTACAACCCATCACAGTGGAAAAGAAACAAACCATTTTATCTTATCTGGAGTACTTTGCTCCTCTTGTCACTTCTAGTAACAAGAATACATCGAACTTGAGAATGAGTCACAGTGATAGGACTCACCTCTCCTGCACGCTCAGGAGCTGGACCATATGTAACACATTTACTACTGTGGTGGCCATCAGATTTGATTTCCAGTTTGTGTGTCTCCCAAAGAAGTAGCAGCTCATCTGTTTGGATTAAAATATCTATAAACTACTGGCAAATCATAATGCTGATGCTCCTTGTTTTTCACTTAAGCGGTGGTCTTCTTGCTTGTGTATAAAAATGAACAAAAAGAGTTCATGAGGTTTCTAATAGCAGTTGTGTACTCCAGAAAAGCAATAGGTTGTACAATAATAACCATGACCTCAAAACGAGGACCAGAGAGAATTCACAACATCGATTTTTACTACCATTGTTTAGCTTGTCCATTGTTTAATAGCCATTACCTAAACACTTGCTTCAGAATATCCCATACCCAGGATATCCTGTTCACTAAATAAGGAATAATGTTATATTTATCCACAGGAAGCCTTGTTATTTGGCAATGAACCGTTCTATGATTCTGTAGAGGACTACATGTGTGAAAGCTTGAAAATCTCAACTTTAGAACTGCATGAAGCAAGGAAAAGCAATGTTTCCTTACAAGCTTACAGACCTTGAGAAGAGGTAGAAGATAAATGAACCATGTGGATTAGAAGAGTAACAACTAACTTCAGAAAGATCAGGAAAGGCAGAAAGGCTTTGAAAAGCTCAGCAGAACAGCAGGTAACTGTGTTCCTAAGGGAGCTTGGTTCATTATAATACCAAAAATCACCCCCCTGAGATAAGAGACCCTTGCCCACAGAGACCCTTACTTACAGAACACATGTAATGAAATAATATATGCTGTGCCCTTAAAAAGAGACAAGAGAATTTATGAGCCAGTGATTGTAGATACAGACTGTTCCACTGTTTGAAATGCATAAAGGTGGATAGCTGGCAGACTGAGGGTTTGCTGGCTTTGCAAAGTGACCACCTTGCACTCATCTCTGCACAGACATAGAATAAACGAGTATCTCGACTCTGGATATGAACTGGCCCTCTGCACACCAGGTGAAAAGCCCTGATTTTGGGACAACAGTCTGAGCTAAAAACAGATATCCCAGTATATACAATCTGCATGATCTCTCTGGAGATTTGCGGAGGCGAAGGAAAGTGTTGGGTATATAGCATCCATCAAAGTTTCTCCACAGTTAGTAGTATTTTATACATCTGTGTATCCGATCTGTTAATGCTACAGTACACCAGATGCTGCCTGAGAGGTAGGAAGAGCAGTCTGAACCAGTGAGCTCACCAGCTTCTACCAGTAGGTAGAAGAAAGTGACAGGAAGACAGAAAGCACAGACAGGTGTTGGCATTTGTCTGATGCTTTCACAATGTACCTGAGACTGAAGCCCTGGACTTCCCACCAGCTACGCCTGGTCTGTATCCACCCTGGTGAACCAAAGCTGCACACAGTCTATTTAAGAAGGAAACACATGGGGATCCTTTCCTGCACCAGTGATCTGCTGCTGCTCTTCTACAGCAAGTGGAAGTTATTATACTTATTATAACACACTTTTAAACAGTGTGAGCTGAAAAGTACAATAATTGAATGCAAAAAAGAAATGCAAGTCTGAAAGATCAGTCACTTTATGCCCCAATCATTACTCTTCTAACTATATCCTCTGAATGCAAGGCTGCCAGCAACTCTCTTCCCCCAGCCCACTGGGTGGTCATGCAAGGGACATGCCATGATCAAAATAAACATCCTTCATGTGACATTCCTCTGATTCCCAGGTTTTAAGAGACAATACAAACCAACACAGTCAGGCAGACATGGATCCATTTTGTACTGTGGACTAATGAATCCCTGCCAGTCACTGCAGCAAGGTGACCAACTCCCACTTAGGGAAAACAGGAGAGGGTGCCTTGCTACCACAAACAGCTGAGGAGATTCAGCAACCCAAGGCTGAGGAGAGCCAGAGCTCCAGAGCACGTGAATGCACATGGAAGAGTTTGGGGTAGAAGTGTTACTGCACATTCTATCTTAAAACATTTTCTGTTTAATAAGTGGGATGTTCTCACCACCTCTGCTAGTCTGTTTGCTTACTAGCTATCGCAGGGTATAGCACTTCTTAATCAGAAGGCCTGCAAGCAGGCCTTGTTGCTATAAACAACATAATACCCAATACAGGATTTCCTTGCTGTAGCAGGATGGCTTCCTGAGTAATTCATACAACAATCTCTAACCCAAGCCTGTTTTCATTATAGACAGAAATACATTGGCTCTACACTGGTGAACAGTACCAGCATCAGCTGGCACGTCTCCAGCTTGTCCCATGTTATTTGAAAACCCTGAAGGACTTTTTTTGCTTAGAAGCCTGTGTGAGCAGAGCATTTATGCTTACCCATCACACCAGCATTCAGGAAGCCATGCCTATATGTTTGCAGCTAAGTAATGAAACAGGAACAAAACCCCCAGCCTATCTATATTAGTGTCAGTCAGCATGCTGAGTTCTGTCTGACAAGCTGTGGCCATGGGAGGCTGCTGTCACATGTCCTCCAGCAAGCTGAAGCTGCTGCTATTATGAAGGAAGCCAATTACAGCATCATGGAGAGGAAACATTTTTTTGGCAAGGGGAATGCAAGTACATAGCATCATATGGAAGGGAATCAGCAGTAATTGTGAATGAAATATCCTTCAGTATTTCTATCAGAGATGTTTCTTACATTAAAAAATGGAAACACGAAAAATCTCCAGGTCAAGACAAGTGCAGGACCTGCTCAGCCCTTCCCTTTCCTCACCACCCCCAGGGCTTAGCAGAGCTTGTGGGTCTGAGGACCCCCAAGATGGAGCCAGGTAACCCATGGGTTTAAAAAGCATCAGGTAGAGCCCAACCTTACATGTGCTTGTGTTAAACTAGCTTAACAGAAAACCAGTTTAATACTAATCAACCCTGAGCATGTGTGTGTCCAAATGTAAATCTAATCACTGACTGAAATGGCTTAGCTTAATTAATGCTAAGTCACTTAAACGTGTATTTGCACCATAACTTGCTAAACTAATAAAAACTGATCACATAGCTGAGCCCTAATTTGCTGATTAAAGCACAGTAATCTAAATGAGGATTGCAATGGTTTCATGATACAAGTTTGAGGTTATTGTGCCATTTGATTGATTTTTAAATCAATGTAGCAAGATTGGATCATTTTAAATTGGTCTGGATCTTTAATACCTGTTTGCTGAGGAAATAGGAAAGAGAATTTAACAGAGGTTCCAACTTCCTATTTATTGTTCACATTATTGGAACACACTTTTCCCTTTGCTTCCCAAGGAAACTATGCTGCTTGCCCAGCACTGGCCCC